AGCGCAGCCCTTGCGCTGAAGCAGTGCTGCACCACTGCCAGGCTGCCCTGCCAGCCCCGGGAGGCGCCTTCGTTGCGTTTGGTTAATTAGATGCTGTTAAATAACCCAGGTGTTCAGTAACTTGCTGTCGCCGGTGTGGAAACGGGCTGTCCCTCCTTGGTCCGCTCTCTGGAGATGCAGAGTCCTCTCCAGCCGGGTGTTTAGAGTCTGGTCTCCAGCCACGCTTGCAGTGGAGCCGAATAAACGGTGTTCTGAGACAACGGCTTTTTAGGGCTGAGATGTAGAAAGCAAATTTCACCGTGACTGTTGTGTAGGGGAAGTACAATGCGACCTCTAAGTTGCAGAACCTGTGTCTTGACAGGAGGAAAATGTAAAAATTGTTGCAGGTCTGGTGGGGGTTGTTAAAAGCGTCACTGAACTGTAGCAAATGTTGGTCTGAGTGTGCATCCAAAAAAACGGAAAAAAAAAATCAAACCTGGAGTGTGTGGGCACTCCAGTACCAGCCTGTTGGGAAGGCAGCGTGCCCTGCTGGTCTGTCGTCTTGCTTTCTTACATCCAGAAATCTAAAGAGTGGGATGTGGTGGGGAAATGCGAACTACCAAAGGGCTTGGCTGTGGCTTGGGGCTTTCAGCTTTTCCTTGTGTTTCTGCCGACTTGCCAACTGCTGCTGGGAGCCGGATCAGGCCCGTTGTTGGGGGGTGCCAGGCACTGGGGTGTTCAGAGCCGGGAAGGTTCGTGAGGCAGAAATCACCCTGACACCCTTGAACATCCCCCAGCACCACCCCCACGGCGCAGCGGCGCCTGCGCTCCCCCCGCCGTGACCCCGACACACGCGGGAGAGGCCCCGAGCTGCCGATGGGTAACGCGGGAGAGAACATCCCTCTTGTAATGGGGAAATTACAAATAAAATGAAAGATCTGCATGCAGAGCACAAGGAGGAAAACGCAGGGCCCCGTTTCAGATTTCAGTGCAGGTTTATTTCAGTTTTATATTTATTTCAGGCAAGTGCTTATTACATGGATATTATTCATGTCGGATACCTAAATTCTGGAGCATGAAGAGCCAGTATAGTACAGCTGAATAGTAAAAATACAATATGTACAAAATTAGTTGTTTTTTCACATAGCAGATGTATCCAAACACATAAAAATCTTTACAGTCTAGGTTTTTCGATATTTAGTATTTCAATAAATTGGTAACACAGTGACACGTCCTCACTGTAAACAAAGACTGCATTTGCCCGGTGTGAGCGACGCCGCGCGGCGGCTTCCCGCGATGTGCAGAGAGGGCCCCGGGCGCGGTGACCAGCGCCGGCAGCGATTCTGCACCTACAATCTGCCTCTCCAGAGAAACATTCCCAATGCAGCCGGGATGAGGGGGGGTTACGTGCAGTGACGGGCGTGGGGGGCCCTGGCAGCAGGGACAGGAGGTCCCCGCTCCCGCCGCAGCTCCTCACCCAGCAGGGCCGGGGCTGGTGCTTGACCAGACGCCAATAAATCCCTGGGTGGATGCGATCAGCACCGCTCGGTGACTCGGACAAGAACGGCTCTGTCGGCGCGTTTCCAGCCCCGCAGCCAGCGCGGGCGCCTGCGCCGTCCGCACCAAGAACACGAAACCCGGGGAGGACGAGCCCCCGGCCAGCCCGGGAGGGACCCCAGGACGGGGCTGGGGGGTTTCCTGGGAGCAGGAGCTGACAGAGGCGAGGAGGGCTCTGCCTCCCGCCACCAGCGCTCCTCACGCTCCAATTCACTCACAGCACAAAGAGGGGCACGAATCAACGGGCCCTGTCTGACCTGCAGCAGAGCCGGCCGTGCAACCCCTCGGGGGGAGCCAAACGGCCCCCGCGGGTGGGCAGGGCAGGGCGCAGGAGCAGCCAAACACCCACCGGGGCTGTGCTTGCGCAGGTATTCTAGTAATTCAAGTTTGGGATTATTATTTTTAAGTAAGTTCTGTAGAACAGGAAGAGAAAGAGGCTGTGACTGGCCCTGCCCACAACCTACCTTCCTTAACTCCAAACATCTGCTCCCAACCACTGGTGTTTGGCTAAGGAAGGGAATCATCTAAAAATAGTGTTATAATCCATTTCAATCTGTTCAAAATGGGATGGAAAACAGGCCAGAAGTATGAGAGTTCTCCTCTCCTCATTCCAGTATCTTTTAGAGTTAAAATAAGGTCGAAATGAACAACTCTTCGCTCAAGGACGAGACAGATGCACGGTCTAAGAGGAGCCCCCCTGCGGGGTTCTTGGCGGCTGCCCCCCTCCACGCCACCCCCAAGAGCCTTAAGGCAGTCAGGTCCCGGCTCAGCGCAGCTGCACGGCTCATTAAGCTTAAGCAAGGGCCTAAAAGCCAACGGCCTGAGCCAGCGTGCTGCCCAGGTAAGCCCGGCTTGACCGACTGACCTGGCCGAGGCCGCCCACCGCCGCCGGGGACCCTTGGGGCACATCACAGCAAGCGACGGGGCCGAGGGAGCACCAGCTGCGTCGTCACACCGGGCAAATTCCGTCTTGTCCCCCAGCCCTCCTGCCCCGCTCCCCCGCGCGCAGGGAGGGCTCCGAACACCCCTCAGCCCCACCCAACCCGCAACAATTTTCACACTTTGTGGTTTTTTTAAATGCAAAAAAAAATTCACTCGGGATGCAAACCAGACACAGGCTACGTACAGAAATCGGAGACACGATAAAGTCTTGCATTGACTGTCTACACGTACAGAACGGGCGTGCATACGGACAATCACACCAACACCGACACAAGCAGCAATAGTCTCACCTCCACCTAAACCACTCAAAGGCATTTTACGTTTTTTTGTTTCTTTTATCCTTTTGTTACAGAAGGCCACTTTTAATTAAAACAAAGAAAAAGAGACAAGTAGTCCAACACCAGCAGGCAGCAGCCCCTGGCGCCGCTCGGTAACGCCTGAACTGCCGTCGGGGTGCTGCAGCTCCCGCCCCGCCACCCGGGAAGGATCCGACGGGAGCGGAAGCCTCTGCCCAGCTCGCTGGGAGAGAAAACCAAACCCGATCCCCCGGCACGGACACACACACTCACACACGTGGGCAGAGGAACTGGCCGACGGCCACGGTTTGGCTCCAGCCCCGTTTTCCCGGGTGCGGGGGGCGGGTCACTGGCCGGTCCCCCCCGGCGCACGCAGCCACGCCACGGGCGTGGGGAACCCTCCCCGCTGCCGCTGTCCCACCTGGCAGGTGTGCGGGGACCTG